TTTTATTCAGTTGTTACCTAACTTTGAGTGACGTACTGTTTACCTTATATTCCTTGCTATTCACATTTCCCAATATGCAGCTCAAGCACACCTTTGATATGCAGTTCTTTAATAATTCGAAACTCGTACGGCATATAATGCACCCGTGCTACTGATTTCTTAAATTTAATGTCCTCGGTATAGTGGAATGGTATATCGTTGCCCTCTTCATCAGTATCGAATGGCCAGAATCCAAACAGGTGAAGTTCATCACAGCGTGTAAGCGCTAGACTGACCAACAGCAATCCTAAACAAATCAAAATGTGACGACTGTAAAGCCAGAACAAATCCAACAAAATCTACAAAGATGCGTATAAATACAAACGTACTGAAAACATTTACTTGAAGCACTAAATATGACAATTTCTGCACTCGTTGTGCCGATTTGGATGGTAAAAACCATTCTAAGTATGCCACACCTTCCGAATACCGCCCGACGAGTGTCGTGTTAAACATTTCGATCGTTATCATTTGAAACATTTATTATCTCGCATGATCGTAGTTTTCTGTGTTTCAGTACTTTGACATATTTTACGCATATTTTTTTTTATTTCAAACCACGTATATACAAATAGACATGTTGTTGAAGTGCGAATGTGATAGAAAACATCACTTCATTGCCTCTATAATGTTAACTTCTGACCAATATGGATATTCCCATCTAGAGTTCACTCCCCTATCGAATCTTTACATTGAATGCGCAACTATTTTAGGGCCAGTCTTTACCGCGTTGTTGTGTTTTATTCTTCTATCTGTTAATTTAACTTTCTGGGAATGTCTTCGATACAACAGTGGATACACTGCATTGACGTACTAAACTATTATATGTGTTTATTACTTACGCATACGTTTTCTAGTGATTGATTTATTTGCACATGTCTAAGTTATCAAGGAGATGGTTAGTCAAGAAATAAATTGACAATAGCTTTGCAAAGAACTGAATTGTTGTCGACCAGATGCAGTGCCTTAACAGCTATCACGGCTTCATCCACCAACAGATTGAAAATTCATTTCGAAAAAAAATAAACACACAGGCATATAAATATTTGCTACAAGTAATCCTGAGTAGACGAATTAACGCTATAGTCCGCCATCTTTATTTTAATATTGGGTGCAACCATTATCTGATGGAGGTATTACAGGTCATAAGTATAGTCCGCCATCTTTATTTTAATATTGGGTGCAACCATTATCTGATGGAGGTATTACAGGTCATAAGTAGAAGGGAGTTAACTTAACAAATGGCTTGATCAATAACTCACACGGTAAAAATATTTTGATTTTTCAAAAGACCAAAAAGCGCATTTGACAGGAATAATTTAAAAAATGTATAATCACAGCTTGCTGCACTATAAGTATCCCAATCATGTAAAATAAGTGATTAGGGCTAAATTGAATTCCGAACATAACAGGCCAATTCTATCTATTCTATAGATTCTTGGGTTTCAAACGCAATTAAATTCAAAATATTTAAAGTCTGTAATAATTAATATATATCAAGAACTACATTTATATATTTTAACAAGAAGAATTTAAAACTAACCTGAAGTTGCATCTTGATTACATACCCAAAATTTTTTAACTGCAAATGAGTAATTCTGATCAATTTCCAAGTCAATTAACGTAGTATTCTTTTGTACATACGATAAAAATGTACGTTTAACTCCTTTCATTCTTTCAGTTCGAGAAAACATTAGATGACCTTGATATGCATCGAGATCCTTCATGAATCCAGACAACTTGTTGTGGTACCTATTCAAAAAACAATATTACTATTAGAGAAATAAATTAACTTTCTTCTAAAAATAGCTTCAACCAAATGTACCACTTGATATTACACACTTGTGCCCTATATCGTAGTATGCCAGCCTATGTCGGAAAATATTATAAACTTATAATAACAGACTACTACTACTGACTACTTCTGA